TTGACTTTGATGAGCAGCATGAAGGCACCTCTAGTGCATCGACCACTGCTGACAGCAAACTGCACTCCAAACATGGTGTTAAGGAGGGTGGATTTTCCTGTGCTCTGAACTCCAAGAACTGTGACGACCACTATCTTGTTCTTTGGAGACACAAAGTCATTGAGCTGATAGAGAACCTCCCTCACCCATCTGAGAGGAATGTTGGAAGCATCTCCATCTACAAGCTCAAGAGGAAATCCATCCAGCAACAACTGAGCACAGAGTTTGGGCAGATTTAGCAGTTGTTGGCGTGATGGATCTGTTTCTGGAAGGTAGAGAGAAGCTTCATAGATCTGACCCATTTCACGGAAAAAGTGTTCAACTCCCAGTGAGCTATTGGAAAGCTGTTGGTCAATTTCTTTGATTTCATTTTTGTTGTCAGAGTCCCTGTACTTCTCTTTGTACTTCTCCCTAAGGCCAGAAAGTTTTACTCGAGACAAATTGTCAAGGTTCATTCTCATCCATTTCAGAAAATAACCCCTCTCTTTCTCTGGGCTGGATATTGCAGTAATGAAGCGTGCCATTACACCTGACATAGCATAGGAGTTCTGTTTCTGACGCTTCTCTTCTTTTTTCTTTTTAAGTTTAGTTATATAGTCTTCTATGTTTTCAGATCCAACTTCTCTGAGACGAAATTGTTCCTTTTCCAAGAAAGTCAGTTCCTTCCATATTTTGCCTTGCAAAGGAAACTGTTCCTCTTTGTATTTAAATGTGTCTTTAATCTCTGCAGTGATAGCATCTGCTTTTTCTTTCCCATCCTGGCATTCTGGAGAATCCTCATCAACTTCTATTCCCAGTTTATCTGCAATTCCAGCCATCTGCTCTACTGATATCTTATGTTTTGTGTTGCTAAGCACATTGCTCACAGCGTTCTTCAGCTCTGTGACAAAGTCAGCATCATTTGTCTGCTTTCTTTTTATAAGGATCCTGCTCTTATTCAAGCTCAACATATTTGCTATTTTTTTTAGACCATCTGGAGTTAGGCCTTTGCTATTTTGTTTTCCCACCAAGTAGATCTTTGCTTTGCATTTGGGGTCAGTCAGCAGTTCCCACTTAGAGTCCGGCTGATCGAATAAAACAAAAACAGCAGCAGATGTCTGCCACAAAAAAGAGAATTGTGTTTCAAATGAAGCTATGTCACCACGAAGGTTAGCTATAGCTACTGGCTCACTAAAAATGTCCATGTTTTTGTTTCCACAGGGAAGGTACCAGGTAATTTCAGCCAGACCATTGGATATTCTTCTTGGAGTGTCTCCACACTCCATGTCGCAGTGAACGAAGGTGTCATGGTACTGCTGAGAGTTACTCAGAAGTTTATTGAGAATCTCTGATTTGGACATGGAGCATTCACCCAGTCTCACGAAAGAGACCATTGGAAGTTCAGAAGTAACTATTCTTTCTTCAATGAATCCCTTTGATTCTGAAAGATCTGAAGGTCTGTACTTCTTAACAATGTCTCTTATGGCCCACAGCATGAGGGTGCACTGCTTTGTATCACAGTTTGGAAGCAGAAGGGGAACAGAAAACTGACACATGGACATTTTTAGTGCTAACTCTTGCTGAACAAACCCATCAGAACACAAGAATAGAGCAGTGATTATGTCCAGAGGGTTAAATATTCCAGGCTTATTTGAGCTGTCAAACAGATCCTCAAAATTGCACACCTCTGTCTCAGTTACATCATCAGTGTTTGACTCAGAAGGGACATTGTTTGATTCACAAGAGACACTTTTTACATTTCTAGCAGT